AACAAAGATATTTGGCTCTGGTCCCAATGAGACCAAATCCCCTTACGGGTGGTTCTTCTATTTGCACGTAGGATCAGTTGACGAACAGTGAATAGTTTTAGAATTAATTTTTAACCTTGTTCTATTACATGCGACCATCTTTTGCCAGCCCTAACAACAAATTGTTTTTAATTACGCATGTGTTTTCCTCGAATGACTAACTGACTGCGTCACCTAAAAACGATCACAGATTCGTTTACATCATTCTATTAACTCGTACGATTGTGAGGTAAAACCGTCATTCAAAACACTTTACAATCTGTCAATTACTTGCCGCGTGTCTTCACGTATTCGCCATTAAGAAAATGCTCTAAGCTCTTTAGTGATCTCTTTGGCTTTAAAGAGATGTCCTCCGTTGATTTGTTTTCAGAGAAACCTTATGCCTTTTTTACTCGATCATAAATCAGCTTTGATAAAGCGAGAGTGGCTATCTTGTGAAGATATATCATGGCTCACTCAGATTCTCATGGAGCGTATAAAATGAGTTTGACTCATTGATAGTCAGGCGGCCAAACAGTCACATCATCAATCACTACTCACTCACCTACTCACTCACTCGCCCAATTCATCAATCAATCAATCAATGGATAGGTCCAGAGATACGTTACACCCATTGAATATCACATTTGTGACCGCAAGGAAATTGACCGGCGGATTTGTGTGCGTGTTATCGGAAATACAATGTTACTTATTAATATATTCCTTCTGGTTCGATACTGCTGCAAGCTACCGACATATACCTGTCTTATACGGCATTGTTGACCCAAAAAAATATCAGGCATACATATTATTCACAAAATTAGCACCCATTTCTCTTTCAGAGCTGAGATTTAATTCAAAAGCTACATTTAGTTTTGAGTGTATAATTTCTTATCTTTTAATATTTTATCACACGCTTACATGTCGATGTCTTCCCTGTCCGGTAGTTTCGACATGTTAATTATTAGCTGATGATTAATCAAACACAGTCTTCAGACTTTGGAAAGAGAAAAT